TCTCTCTCTCTCTCTCTCTCTCTCTCTCTCTCTCTCTCTCTCTTTCTCTGTTTCCCTGTCTCTCTCTCTTTCTCTCTCTCTCTCTCTCTCTCTCTTTCTCTTTCTTTCTCTCTCTCTCTCTCTCTCTCTCTCTCTCTCTCTCTCTCTCTCTCTCTCTCTCTCTCTCTCTCTCTCTCTCTCTCTCTCTCTCTCTGTAATATTGGTGGTGGTTTTATCCCACTTGCTGCCGCCGGTGTAATATATGTGGTGTTTGTGTAATAACTTGGATTTGTTTTGGTGACATCCCCTCAGTCTGTTACCAGTATGGTACTGCCGGGCAAGGCAGGGGCGCTCAGGGAAGAGCGTTGCGACCTGCCCAGCAAACTTCGTTTCGAAACAATTCATAATGGAAAACATGAAAGAATCTGAATGAACATAAATTCCTATACATATGGTAACATAGTGGTTTCGTGGTGAAGGAACAAGGGTACCTTTTAAACGGTTGTGTGTAAGAAGAGTTATGGTGTTTACAAGACTAAAAAGCTTTGCGATAAGGAGACTAACATTGCTGAGTATTCACAAAACATAAAAGCATTTGGATATCGAAAATGTTAGCAGTAACATAGTAATTCAGAATAAGCACTTCCAACGAATATTTTAAGTATAAACAACATATAATTATACACATAGACAACAGAATAACAGCATGGGAAATGTTCACAAGCAATAAGGGTTGAAATAGCGTGTTCTATGGTCATTTGTCATTTTCACGGGTGTAGACCTGCTGGAGTCGGCTGAGGACAGTGGAATTACTGTGAGATAAGGAACACATGGCTTTTCTGGTATGTGACACAGGGAGACCACGAGAACAGGTCACTAGATCGCTCGGTCACCTAAAGAGAATCGTCCTCGATTCTAGGGTAGACGATACAGGTGGATGACAGGAGACAGGTGACGGAGGCAAGTGACACAGGGAGTTTCGTATCTTGCAGGAGAATAGGTCGCACAGGTAACTTCTAAGATTGGCGGCCTAGGGAGCTTGTTCGCACAGGTCACTGTTCCGAAGCGCAGGTGGTCTTGACGGGAGCAGCAGTGGTGATTAATCACGGAGCTCGTTAATCGTTCCACAGGATCGCTGGAAGATGCAGTTAACTTGTCAAGCGCCGTGTCAGTCGTAAATGACACGCACACCGATCTAGAAGATTCTGGACCAAGTTGATGGCGAAGAGACGAGTGCTGAGCGTAGAATCGTGAGAATGGGGTCTTCGAAGAATCAGGATCACATCGTTGGCGGGGAGGATTCGTTATCTCTTGAGAGGAGGAGCACCAGGGCGTTGGTGTCACGAGTTCCGACAGGCAAGGCAGGACCCCTCTTGCCAGGGTCACTAGCACAGGGCAGCAGGTGTGGTGAGTGAGACGAGATGCGACGAGGACGTCGGGCGAGACGAGACGAGACGAGACGAGATGCGACGAGGATGTCAGGCGGCAGTCACCAGTGGACGAGGCGGCGGACACGGCCGGAGTGGCAGCGACGTGCAGTAGAGAACGAAGGGCGTCGGGTGATGCGGGAGCGAGAACGTCCGTGAGATGGCTCGTTAACGGGCGAGCGAGAGTTGGTGCGCCAGGGAACGGGGGCTTCGTGCGCAAGGGAACGGGGGCTTCGTGCGCCAGGGAACGGCGGCTTCGTGCGCCAGGGAACGGCGGCTTCGTGTGACGACGCGGTGATCCGAGGGTCAAGGTCAGCAGTGGGCTTCAGCACGGGGCGTCTAGTTCTGAGGACAACGAACGAAAACAACAGTACCATGTCTTGGGGACAGAGTACGTAATGCCATATCTCAGGGAGTTACAATATCAACACGAACTCGTAATGATTAGGAAATGACTGGAAGCAACGTGTCAGGGATTCGGAATAGTGTTAATTGCAACATTCACCTGAGTGACAAAAAGCAGTAGTGAACTATCGAGATTGTAGGATAAAATCACGAGAAATTACGAGTTTACAGAACCATGCAACGTAGAAAAGATTCTCCACGAAAATAATAAGTATAAATCATGTGCAAGGATACAGGTCAACAGATATTCCCATGACAAATGTAGGTAGAAAGATCATAGAATATATATCCTTCAGGGAAATGAGAGTAGCTGCATGCGAAAATGCAGGATTAATGGGAAATTGATTAAGGTTAGTAGCATGTTAGGAAACAGGAAGGCAAAAACATGCAAACAAACACAGGAAAGATTTTCCCATAAAATAGTTCATAATGAATGAACAAAAATTCACCATCGTGTGGATTCGGAAATCATCACGACGTAGATTATTAAGAAACTAAGTAATATAGGTTAACAAAGTACAAAGGAATTAGCGGACCAAAGAGAAAGATTAGGCAAACCGCAGGGCATGCGTGAGTGAGGGGGGCGCACGCATGGTTAGCGCGACAGATGTCAGCTGAGGGGAGATCTCGTTTTCTATGAGGGGATGAACACAGGTGTTCGCGAGAGCGAGAGGAAATCAGACACTTCACTTCTCAGGGGATTTCCTAAACAATGAGAACAGCGAGGATAAAGAAACTCACCTTGAGGTACTGGCAGGCAGTGTTGATCGATGTTGCAGGCGTCAGGCAACTGCAGCAAGTGTTGAAGACTGCGACAGGTGTTGAAGTACTGTACGCCAAGTGAGGAGCGATGTCAGCTTAGCAGGGAAGACTGGCTTCGTGTTTGAGATCAGGAAATCGCAGATGTATCTTGAGATGAAGTCTTGCAGTGACAGAAGTCGACAGAGGTATCTCCGCTTGCAGGAGTCGATAGATTTTCTTCGGAGGGCTACGTGTGGTGCGGTGATCTTCGGAGGGATCGTGTGGTGCAATAATCTTCGGAGGGCTCGTGTGGTGCGATGATCCCATACCAGAACACATGGCTTTTCTGGTATGTGACACAGGGAGACCACGAGAACAGGTCACTAGAGTTTGTCTCTCTTCTGTCTTGTATGGTGGTCGTTTGGTACTTGAAAGTGAAATTGTGTGGCAGAAGTGTCCCTCTCTTGTATGATGTTGGTGTAAATCTTGAAATTGAAAGTTGTCGCAGTTTTATAGTTTATTGCTGCTTATTATTATGGTAGGTGGGATACAGAGGACAGGTAAGGCAGGATACAGAGGACAGGCAAGGCAGAGGCGCCCAGGGAGGAGCGGGGCGACCTGCCCGGCCCACTGTGGCGAGCGGTCTGTCTGGACTGCTCAGAAATTTCTATCAACAAACTTCGTTTTGGAACATTTCATAATGGAAAACATGAAAGAATTTGAATAAACATAAATTCCAATACATATGGTAACATGGTGGTTTCGTGGTGAACGAGCAAGGGTACCTTATATACGGGTTTATGTAAGAAGAGTATAAACAAGACATAATTATAAACATAGACAGAATAATAACAGCATGGGAATTGTTCACGAGCAATAATGGTTGAATTAGCGTGTTCTAAGGTCACTTCGCCATTGTCATTGTGTGGAATTACTGTGGGATAAGGAACACATGGCTTTTCAGGAGTGTCAGGTCACTAGACTCTCTTTCTCGTTCTCTCTCTCTCTCTCTCTCTCGCTCGCTCGCTCTCTCTCTCTCTCTCTCTCTCACTCTCTCTCTCTCTTTCTATCTATCTATCTATCTGTCTCTGTCTCTCTCTCTCACTCTCTCTGTCTCTCTTTCTCTCTCTCTCTCTCTCTCTCTCTCTCTCTCTCTCTCTCTCTCTCTCTCTCTCTCTCTCTCTCTCTCTCTCACTCTATCTATCTATCTATCTGTCTGTCTGTCTGTCTGTCTCTCTCACTCTCTCTCTCTCTCTCTCTCTCTCTCTCTCTCTCTCTCTCTCTCTCTCTCTCTCTCTCTCTCTCTCTCTCTCTATCTCTCACTCTATCTATCTATCTGTCTCTATCTCTCTCTCTCCCTCTCTCTCTCTCTGTCCCTCTCTCTCTCTCTCTTTTTTTTTTCTTTTTTAAGAAAGAAAATCGTCGACCTCCTATTATTTCTGTGGTAGCGTGGTAGGTGGGATACAGAGGACGGGCAAGGCAGGGGCGCTCAGGGAAGAGTGGGGCGACCTGCCCAGCCCGCCGTGGCGAGCGGTCTGCCTGAACTGCTCAGACATTTCCATGAACAAGCTTCGTTTTGAAACATAACATAATGGAAAACATGAAAGAATTTGAATCAACATAAATTCCAGTACATATGGTCACATGTGGTTTCGTGGTGAAGGAACAAGGGTACCTTATATACACGGTTGTATGTAAGAAGAGCTATGGTGTTTACACAACTAAATGGCTTCGCGATAAGGAGACAAAAATGCTGAGTATACACAAAACATAAAGACATTAGAATATAGGCAATGTTAGCGGTAACATAATTAGTAATTCAGAATAAGCACTTTCCAACGAACATTTTGAGTATAAACAACACATAGTTATACACATAGACAACGGAATAATAGCACGGGAAATGTTCACAAGCAATAAGGGTTGAAATAGCGGGTTCTAAGGTCATTTGTCATTTTCACGGGTGTAGACCGACTGGAGGCGGCTGAGGACAGTGGAATTACTGTGAGATAAGGAACACATGGCTTTTCTGGTATGTAAGACGAGGGAGATCACGAGAACAGGTCACTAGACTCTCTCTCTCTCTCTCTCTTTCTCTCTCTCTCTCTCTCTCTCTCTCTCTCTCTCTCTCTCTCTCTCTCTCTCTCTCTCTCTCTCTCTCTCTCTCTCTCTCTCTTTCTCTCTTTTTTCAGGGTGCCTCAATGTAAAATATATCAAGTTTAGTCGCTATGGAATATTATCACGGGCTACACGGGTATGTAAAGTTTGGTTATGATTACCAGCGTTAAATCAGCCAAAGAGACATTATATGGCTTCTCGTAAATACTGATCCAGCACTTGAAAGCATCATGGCTCTCCTCTCAGGAACGTAGTATACAATACACTCCTTGTTTCTTCACCACTCATAAATCATTTGACCTTTTGTGTCTAAATGTGTGTTCATCCAAATTCGTTCGTGCTTTCCATTATGAAAGCACGTCCAGGCAATCGACGTGTCAGTGCAAATCAGTGTAGTGGGCGTGTGGGTGTGTATATTAAGATGTTCGTTTTAATTTAGTGTAGATATTCTAGAAGTGAAATACATATTTTCTCTTATTTTGCCCACGCACTTACAATATTTTCCGGTGGACAGGGCAGGACTAGCAAAATTGTGGCATTCGCGTTTGTCTTATCGCTCGCTCTCTCTGCCTGCCTTGTTTTTGCACAACGGTGTGTGTGGGCATTTTATAACCACTGGACTGCGGGTATGGTCTGGTCCTCTGTATACCACCCACCGAACTCCTGTAGTAAGGAAGTATAGAATCTACTACAACTAAATACAGTGTACTCAACAGACAAACAGAAATAACAAAATATACAAGTGTCATAAGATAAATATTTGAAATTGAAAACTTGTCTAAAATAGTGATAATTGACAATATATGTTTTACTACAACATAGAGAAGATTTCTGGGCGGTCTATTTTTCATATATTAAATTGTTACTGCTATTTTCAGGTGGCTGAGCATTTTATTACTCACAAAATTTTCGTAAATTGGCGTTCAAATTAATTATATATAACTGTCTTGTTTATATGCAAAATATTCGTTAGAGAATGCTATCCTGGTTACTATGTGTTCGTCATCTATGTTGGTGTTTCTCTACGGGTGAAGAAAACACCGGTGAAATCTAAAGTAGGTTGATTGGAGATCAGCTTTGACAAAAATAAAAGGGAACTCTTCATGTTCCTCTGTTCAACACGCCAGGCTCCGTCTGAGAGTGTCGCTGCCAGACGTGTGGCTACAGAGACAAAATAAAATATTGTACTCTTTCATATAGGTGATATGCTACACAGCAATGTAAACTAAACATAATCTTCTATATTTCACATGGCGT